GCCCCGACGGCTCCGAAGGTAGCCCCGTCCCACACAATGTGGCATCCAGCCCGTTCGGCCCTCCGTATCCACCGCGGTGGCCGATCTGTACGGCTCCCCCCTGAGCAGAGAAGACGCGTATGGTGCCCAGGTGACCCTTTCACAGATGGGGAAACGGGCCGAAAGCACTTCAGCCCCGTGGTTCGTGCCTCTAACAAGACAGCCCGGGACTTAGATCTCCTGCTCACTCAGTGTCCTCACTCTGTGTAATCACATCTTGTAAAAAAATACTTGTTACTGGATGGAGTGGGCTGCAGTTCTAAAGTGATGTAGTTGTTTTCGTGGCACACCCCGTGTGCTGTTTCATTAGACCCGTGCTCCAGTTTCCCAGGTTCCAGTAAGGGGACCTGCGCGGTTCCAGCCCTTGTCATTCAGGGGGCACCTGTGCTTCCCTCTCATGGGTGTCTGTTTTAACCAGGTAGTAATTTATTAAGAACTCAATTCTTCCAACCTAAGTATGTTTCTATTTATTAAGTGCTCTAAATTTTAAGGCAGGTAGTTCTTTATGAGTCTATCTTTTTTTTTTTGTAAGTTTACAGAGACCCCCCCGCCACTCAGTCTGCGGCTGATGTTTAGAAATTGGGATTTATCATCTCTTTTACTCAAGAACCACACTGAAGCAAAACTGTGAGCCCTTCCCCAATTCCTCTCTTAATGTTACAGTTACCCTTGTTTTGGGATTATTGAGCTATTTGCCAGCTACTATGGTTTGTATAAGCTGATTTAGGGTTAATTTACTCAAAGGAAATCCACAGTTTTCTGAAGGAAATATTCTCTGACAGCCATGGTCTCCTTTTCCTTCAAAGTCTCACCTGTTCTTTAAAAATTTTCATTCCAATTCAGTTTTCTCGGTAACAGTAAATAAAACCAACATTTATATCAATACTAAACCTCCATGAAGTTGCACTTTGACCTGAACCTTTGTGTTTGAGTTCACTTCAGTAGAGTAGAGGAAAACCTTCAAGGTAAATATCAGGTAGCAGATACAGCAGCATGGAAACACCCGCCACTCTGTGTAGTGGACTTGATTCGAGTTTTGCCTGGATAACCGTAGCAGTCTTCTGAAAGGTGTGGGTTGACAAGCTACACTTGACAGGAGATTTTGGCTTGTAGCTGTCTAGTCAGTGTTCAGAAAATACTCGAACTCCATTTTCCACCCCTAGTTTATAGAGCTAAAAGTGAACTCTGAAGTATTGGTTTAGGATTGTTATTTGGAGGATACGATCAATTGCTCCTCCTGCGCCCGTTTCCACCGCATAAAATAATAATGTGGAAAAAGCTGTTTCAGATCACCTAGTTGTATATCTCATTTAACAGAAGCCTAGAGGGTTTAAGTCCGTTGACTGAGCTCAGAGCTGATAAAAGGTAGAGCTCCAATTAAACTGGTTTTGTGAGACCTTGTCTAGTTCATCTTCTACTTCAGCCCTCCCAGTGCTGTAAAAGTGGGTGAGATGCTGCTTGTCCCCCATAACCTGAGAGAGGACATGAGGTTAACCTGCAGTCCAGGCTGAGCCGCTGAGGAAGAGCCCTGCCCTGGTGCCGCTCTGAGGGGGTCCAGCCCCTCCTTCCCATCCTTTCCTCAGAACATCCTGTTACTTGTTTTCTTACAGCCCACTTACCCTGGCCCTCTTAGCCTTCCTAGAGGGTTTCAGCTTGGCGTCCTGTGCTTGGAGTATCTGGGGAGGGTGCTGAACCACAGGTGCCACTGATCTTATATGCCAAGTTGTGGTCCTTGTTTCTTCTGGGGGACAAGTCCCTCAGATTTTCAAACTCTGCAGTAACTCTTGGTAAACTCTACTATCTTCATCGAAATCAGATTCTTTTCAGTAGAAGCTTTGCTCTTGTTCTTACATTGCCCCTATCAAGCTTATCATGGAAAACTTAAAATAATTTCTCAGGACATCAAAGTCTGAGATGGTGTGAACTGTTTTAAATCATTCCCTCTTTATAGAGCCACTTATAGAGAGCAGTTAAGTATGATTTAATGATATTAAATAACATTGAGTTTCTGGATTCTTAGTCATTTTCACGTTTATTGTTTCTGGCTTTTAAGTAGACTGAATCTTTCAGGGCAGAAAAATGAACATGTACAAGAACCACAAGTGAAAGTGAGCAAGCGCCTCCGCGAGCCGTTGGGTGAAGATGAACGTGCAGAGCCGTGTGCAAAGCATGTAAAACAGAACCCAGAGCCGGTGCCTTCAGTCAGCAAAGACACATTCTCTTACATGGGTATATCTTCTTGGATTTTTTAATTTTTAGTATAATAATCATGAAAATACATGTGTAAAAACTTTGTACTTTCTCAATAATGGAAATTTAAGATAATGTTTAACATCCTCATTCTTAATCTGAAAAGGTCATTTAAAAATCTGTAAGGTCACTATTTTAAATTGATGAAACGGTACCGAATTATTACAGTTTTGGACATACATAGGAAAACCGTTATACAGGCTACAAATGAAAACCACTAGTGAGATGCCAGTGCTTCTGGGCGCACAGTGTTGCAGGCAACCGAGAGGGGACGCGAAGGCTCCAGCTCTGCGGCGTGAGAGGCCCTGGGCCGCGCTTCTTTGTGTAATGGCTGCAAAACATACGTGATCCTCCCTTATCCCGACAAGCAAGACAGTTGTGCATGCCCCACTGTCTATTTAATTCCAGGAATCAGTCGTTTATATTTTGTGACTTGCAAAACATGTAAGTGTATAAACAGAAAATAGGAGTAAGTAGCATTTATTATATAAATTGCTGTATTTGAGGGTTCCAAATTTTCCCCAGAAAAAAGTCATTTTATAAATCAAGGGAAGCCAATAGAAAATGTTTTGTCAAGTTGTATGAAAATGTATTAATCCTCACAGTTATGTAAAAAGCAAAACCAAATATTCTCTATTAAGTTCTTTACCAAAAGTAACTGAAGCAAATCCATGTCGTGTGATTGGGAGATGAGCCGTTTCCAGTGTGTTGACAGTTGCTTGAAACCTGGTGGCACCTGACAGGCACTCGCAGTGGGACTGACTCGGGCACCGGGGCGGCAGTCGTGTCGGGCGTCAAGTCTGGTGAACCCCTTGGTCCCCGCCCAACACCGTGCTCTCCCGACTCACTCTGCTTCGGGATGTGCGCGTCTGCCACGGAGCAGCCCGCCTCTGCTTCCTCCCGCCTGCCGTCCCTGCGACAGACACATTCCAGAGCAGGGCCTCCCCCTGTGCCCACAGCCCTGCCCTCTAACAGCCCTCCCGTGACCCCTCCTGCCGCCCTGCCGAGAGGGGTCTGCAGGCCACCAGCGGCCTGAGAGTGGCCGCATAGCTGTCCTGCTGCCTTGTTCGCTGCAGCAGTGGTGTGGTGACCGGACCCTCTGTCTCGTGCGAAGACAGAAGTAGGGCCACAGCTTTCTCGTGGGTAGACTGAGGAAATCAGCCACAAATTTGTCAGAGGACTTGAGTTGGTCCTCATCCTGCCAAGGTGCTCTCTGCTCGTCCGCAAGTGAGCGTCTCACACACACAAGAACGGGGACAGTGGCACTGGCCCTTGACTGTGGTATTGGGGGATGTAGGTGGCAGTTCTCGCTGAGCGGGTTCGACGTTTACAGATCGACTGCCTTTGCCTTTAATTTGCTAGCATGCAGAACTGAAATACTGGATTCTAACCCAAAGTGTCAAGTCCTCTAGTGTGAGGAATTGATTGTGTTTTCCTGGACAGGAAACCTACAGCATCGTAAACTCCCTCTAGGATTAAAGTGCTGATTTGACCTTAGTAAATTTCTGAGGTGAATTCCGTGTTTCAGTGCTGCTGGTCCGGCAGTGCTCAGAACACTTCCCTTTCCCAGGAGAATTCGTCGTCGTCTACACTGATGGCTGCTGCTCCAGTAATGGGCGGAGGAGGGCACGCGCAGGAATTGGTGTTTACTGGGGGCCAGGCCATCCTTTGTAAGTAAACCAAAAAGCTGGGTTTTTCAGCTTCCAATCGACCTGAATCACAGTGAAAGGCTCAGGAAGCAGCGAGTCGGGGTCTGCTGCTCTGCTCCTCTCGCGACAGGCTTCGGCGGGAGGGTCAGAAGAACCCGGTGGGACCCACACCGAGGCCGGCGGCTTTGGTCCTGAGCACGCGGTACCTGCGTGGCCTCCAGGCCCAAGTCTTGATGGGTCTCTGTGTCTCACCGATGAGATTTTACACCGACACGACCTAGCTGCCCCCGGAAAGAGTCCCACGATTCCCAGGGACGAGGTCTGGGCAAGGATGCATGAGGGGCGGGTGCCTGTGCTTGGCACCCGTCGTATCCCCACACTCTTCTGGAGATAAGCGAGTTTAGAAGTGACTCTTGTCACGAGGCACAAAGTCAAGATGATGGAAAGTGGCCCCTGAATATTAACTGACAGCCCTAAAATCCCCTGTGAAAGAGGGATTTGACCCCTGGGAGGTAGCCATATGCCAGCCCTGAGCTTCGTTCTCCAGCATTTACTGGTGCCCACAGAGATGTTGGGCATAATTAGCATGAACTGTTAAGAACTTGTCTCTTCAGCTTTGTAGTCCACAAAGTTCCCCACCGTCTCCCACGCTGATACCACATTTTAGCTTCGGACCCTGTAAGAGGCGGCACACGCGGCGGCCCTGAGTCTGCAGGCCCAGCGCTCGCCCAACCACATGCTGACTGGGCCCAGGAGTTGGACTCCCCTCTGACCCTGGCCCGGGTCTCCGGCAGCACCGCACCTTGGTGCTTTTCCGTGAGACGTTGCTCCTGGTGCTGTGATTTCAGCAGCTGCTGTTCTGTGTGATGTGTATTTCCAGTAGAGATACTTACATGCCTGTTATTAATGAAGAGGCTTAGGGAATCCTTTGGAGAATTAGCATCATAATTTTATTTACCTTTGTATTGTTTTGAAACCAGAAACGTAGGCATTAGACTCCGTGGGCGACAGACCAACCAAAGAGCAGAGATCCACGTAAGTCTCAGGTGCTTCCCGGGCAGTGCCCGCTCGCCGGCCGTCAGCGCGTGACCGCACCAGTGGGCCTGTTCTGTGTGCCCATGAGGTATTCAGAAGTCCAGAAGAAACTTAGCTCGGAGTTAGTAACTGTTCTGAAGGGTAGGCATTTTCTAGAAGAAACGAAACTTACTTCAAATTGTTGTCCAAACATAATTGTTTGTATAGCAGTATTTCACATGGGGAATGAATCATTAGAGCTAGCCTAGAAAAGGAAGGAATTTTTAAATTTTGAGGTAATTTTGAACGTCAATCATATCAAAAGTTGAACAGTTTCTATAGCATGACAACTCATTTTTTTCTGCCAGGCAGCCTGCAAAGCCATCGAACAAGCGAAGACTCAAAACATCACCAAGCTGGTTCTGTACACAGACAGTATGTTCACTATAAATGGTAAGTGAGCTTTATTTGCGATTTGCCCCTAGTGTTGTTCTGTTAAGTGTGGAGAGAACAGGTACTTCCTTCCCCAGTAGGCAGTGAGTCGGGGCAGGGCCCAGAGGGTGAGAGGGGATCGCACCTGGTTCGCCGGGCATGGAGGTGGAGGCGCGGGTCTGGAGCCCAGTCCCCCTGCCCCACGCAGGCATTTCTTGGCCAGGCGCCAAAGACAACAGAAAAAAGGGGGCCATGGCCCTGCTCTCGAGGCCTGTCAGGTCTGAACAGACGCTCGCGGCGTCTTGGCCACATGCCATGCGCAGGCCTTATGTCTGAGGCTGGACAAGCGGCGAGCACATCGAAGGGACGAGGGCGGTTTCAGGTCTGCACCAGGCCCACAGCGCGGGAGCGCAGAATCCAGACGCAGCTCAGAGTCCAAGTGGGGGCGACTGTGAGCGGGAGTCCAGGGAGGACCCAGGACTGGCCCATGTGAGGTGAACCGATGTTTCTTCCAGGTATCACCAGTTGGGTTCAAGGCTGGAAGGAAAAGGGGTGGAGAACAAGCACAGGGAAAGAGGTGATCAACAAAGAGGACTTCATGGAGCTGGAGAGACTCGCCCAGGGCATGGACATTCAGTGGGTGAGTGCTCCACGTGGTCACCGTCGGGGCGGGACAGTCCGAACCACCCAGAGAGAGGAACGGTTTCTGTATGTGACTTCAGGACATCAGTTCCAGTAGCCGTTTCCATGAGGTCAGTATCCTGTGACTGCCTCCCCCTGTCATCATGTAAGTGACACCGTTTTAACGAGGGTACCGTGGGATGTTCCGAGCTCTCTGTGCTGGCGTAGCAATGCCCGGTGGTGTTCCTGGGCGGGCCTCACCACGGCAAGAGTTGGCTTATTGATGTCTTTGCAGCCAACCGTAATGTCAAATAAAACTAATTCATATGTATTTTATTAAAAATGAAGTGTGATAAGACCATTTTCCCAAAATGGAAGTCTTTTTCTTATAACAGATAATTTTTATTAAAATTATTATTTTAGACAATACAGAGCATGTTGACCTGCAACCGTTTTCTTAACCCTATGTTGCTGTCCCACACGAGGACCACCGATAAGTTTGGTAACCTGACATTTAAATCTGCCTTTCAATAACGTAAATGTAAACAGTAGTTAAGTCCCTTAAGAACACCCCTTTTGATGGCGTTTAAAGAGAATGAAGTGTGTGTATCATACCTATCCTTGTCCATACCCGCGTGTCCCTTGGCCCTGTCCCATCACTAAGTGGGGAAAGGCAATACAAACAGTAAAGTCCAGTGTGGAAATCAAATGGAATCTTTGCAAGTGTTCCCACTGCAGGAAGACTGCATTGTGTTCTGCAGAGCTGCTGAGGTGGGCTTTCTCCTCGTCTGCTCTGAGCAGTTGGGTTTGTGAACAGTTAGGATGTAGTCATATGTTGCTTGTGTGAAAAATTGGTAAAGAGGAAAACTTTATTTAACAGATGCATGTTCCTGGTCATTCGGGATTCATGGGCAATGAGGAGGCCGACAGGCTGGCGAGAGAAGGAGCTAAACAATCAGAAGACTAAACAACGTGGTTTTAAACCTTGAAAAACTTGACCCAGTGGCTGTTTTCTTACCTCTACTTACTGGTGTGCGAAGCAAAACTACAGGATGGATCACTGCCGTAGACAGGCAGACACAGCTTCCATGGGAAATGACTAAGGAAGGTGGTGTTCTGTGGTGCCGAGCAGTGACAAGTGGAATGTATGATTGTATAATAAATTGAACTTCCTTTGAAATTTGAGAATTACTTGAGATTTCAGCATTATGACTTACTGGATTTGATTTTATTGCAGTCTGGACAAAAATTTTAGGATTTTGATTAAATAAGGAGTTAATGAAACATTGGTTTAAAAACACAGAATAAGTCCGGAAGTGTCCTGAGAGAGCTCATCTGCCTCCCTGTTGGCGGGGCTGCGTCTCCCGACTTCGGGCTGACTGCACCTGCTGCGGAGACAGACTCCCCTGGCCGGCGGGCGTGGTCCGTGCCAGGGCCCACGGGCCACCTGGCTGCTGGGCCGTTACTTAGGAACAGTGACAACTTTGAAAGAGCAAGATTCATAAATAAATCTTCAAAATTTTTCTTTGGTGGTTTTGTTGAAAGCACTATGCAATTTTTTAAAAATTTGATATGATCATTTATTTTTATCTGTTTTATTACCTTCTGATCATACAAACGTACAAAAAGCGATACAAACGACTGTAGCTTATTGTTAATAGCCTTGTAACCACCACCCATGTCAAGACAGAGCTTCGCAGACACCCCAGAAGGTTTCCATGTGCTCTTTCAGTCACAGCCCCTCCCCCCTCCAGAATTCCTAAATCTTACGGAAACGACGTCCTTCCATTTCATTACGGCCGTTTAGTCTTGTCTACTTTTTAAACTGGACACTCCTCCATTCTGAAGTCCTCCTAGGTCACGGGGCCTCTCTCTCCGTGTGTCGGCCTCCTGTGGTCTGTCTGCCGAGGACCCGGGGCCCATTGTCCTGCGGTCCCCAGTGTCTGGGTCTGGCCTTTTGACCCCTCAGTTTCCTGCAGGTTGGCAGCTTGCTTCAGAGGCTCCAGCATAATCAGGTCCCGCACTGGCTGTCATCTCCGATGCCGGTGGCTGCCGAAGGCCGGGGCCTAGGGACAGTGATCTCCTCTCACTGGCATCCTTGGCTGGAGTGCTTCCGGAGACATTCCCCTCGCCTCCTGTCCAGGGTCCGGTGGTTCAGGTCACGTCGGGAAGGCAGGATAAGTGCCAGAGGAGTTACCCCATTTTCATTTATGTCTCCATGACGGGTGTCTGACGGGCTCATGCTCTCAAGGCTGTTGATGGGCTTCAGTTCTGTGCAGTTTTCATCGTACTGACCCTGATTTGGCCTGTAGGAGGGGCCTGTTGAGGTTTGCTCTTTAGTCTTCGGATTTCCCTGTGTGCGTACACGCACTGACCCGCACACACCGGTCGTCGAAGGCCGCCTCATGGGCGCGTCCGGGTGTTCTACGCCCATCTCGCTCACCTGCTCCTGACGAGACTTGGCTGTATCTCTGAGGCTCCCTAGTGCCTTTTAATGGCAAAAAAAGGTACTTCAGATCCTTACTCTTCATTGCTGTGGGATTGGTGGTGGTTTCTAAGCCTTTTCATTGTCAGAATCACAAAAAACAGATAATGTACACCTTTAAAATACTCTGAGCTCGTGCCGATATTACCAGTACAAACACAGGATTCCAGGGTGCTCACGCCCCCCTGCATTACATCTGTGTCACCTGCCCTGAGAACCCTGGCACCCAAGACTCGGGCCACTGGGCATGGTGCGCCCTCTGTGGTTCCCTCCTGGGGGGCTTAGGGTTGTCTTCCTGCTTTGGTCGTCCTCGGGGGGGCCTGTTGCCTGCACGTGGGGATCTGATTTGCTCATCCTCATGTTCCTATGAATTTCTCTCTCTATTTTCATTTGTCTGTTAACAGTTGTCCTCACGTCCTGTCTCTAAAGCCATCGCTGTCTTTCTTTGCTGTGAACTCTCTTTTCTTGTCTGTCTCATTTTCTTGAGCTCTGTCACCTTGCGTCTGATAGTTTCTAAGACTGATTTACAGTCTCGGTACCTTGTACCCCTTTGTTCATGTTTGCAAACAGTACGTTTTGATGTCTTTGGGGGGCATCTTCCTGGCAACAGCTCTGTGTAGATTGGTGCCTCCCTGTGCTCGTTTCCCAAACATGCAGCACCGAGGGCTTTTCTCACTGCACAGGGCTCTTTTCTGTTGCATTTGGAATAATGTTAAAATATGGCGGCTGCTTCTGGAACTCTCGTGACTCTGGTCCCTCCCCCACCCATATGGGACCCTCTCCTTCCTGGCTGCAGAGTTCCTGTCCCACTCAGTACTGGTCTATCCCCGCAGCTGGGTCCCAGGCGGCCAGGTGCAGGATTCTCGGGCTGCACAGCTCCAGTCCCCCAGACCTGGATGGGGCCCCCTGACCCACCTCTCCACCAGGGCAGGCAGGAGTGTCTGCCTCCAGCCACCAGCCTCACACCAGCTTCCGCACTTGGCAGTAACACCTTTGGGATTGTGTCCGGGGTCTGTTAGGGGCCCAATCACCCCGTTTTGCTTTTTCCCACAGGTGTGAGGCTTGTGACAGCAGGCTGTGCCCCCACTGCTGTGTGCTGGCTCTGCAGTCACTGTACCACCCTGCATCCAGGGACGTGTGGCTGATGGACAGCGCGTTGCCCGCATAAAGGGGGCTGTGCACGCGCCTGTGAAGCAGGCACCAGAGCGCGCTTGTCACCGCTGCAGGCTTTCCACACCACTCCCGACTCCCTGCCTGCCCTGCCCCATTCCTGGGCCACCACTGCCATGCCTTCCGTCACTACAGACTGTTTTTCCTGGGACTTCCTATAAAGGGAGTCATACAGAATAAACTCTCTGCGGGGCGGGGGCCACATTTCCTCGGCGCAGCTGCCCCAGCGCCCACCCACGCCGTGTGTCAGTTCCCGCCTTCCTGTGGCCGGCGGAGCCCATCATGTGCAGGCACCGCAGTTCCTGCACCCTTCCGTCTATGGCACTGGTGCTGTTCCCGGCGTTTGGCTATTGGGGGTAAAGCTGCCCGGTCTTGCGGACATGTGCTTTCATTTCTCAAGTGGAATGGCTGGGTCGCATGGCAGTTCCACTGAGCTTTTCCAAGTGCCAACTTCTACCATTTTACACTCCCTCCAGCAAGGCGTGAGCCGTTGGCTCCGTATCCTCATCAACACTGGCTGCCACCTGGTTTTGTTATAAATGCCCGTGGGTGTTTGGCCTCGCTGTCCAGTTGTTCTGAGGATTTGGGAAGATCCAAAGAGTGTAGGCTTACTGCTACCACTGCCTTCTGAGAGCCCAATTTTTGAAGATTGGGCAGCACGTTCTCTGTGCCCAGGATAAGACAGGTGGAAGTGTGTCTGCAGGGCTCCCGATCTCGGGGATTCACGTAGGTACAGATGAAACTGAGAAGAACAGCAGGTGACACAGCTTGCAGCGAGGTGAGGTGCAGCCACGTGCATTGAAAGCAAGTTCACAGGGAGCAGATTATTGTCAACAGACAGCATTCAGTGGCTGATCATAGGAGCAGCTGCGTTCTTGGACGTTCAGGAGTCACGGCTACACCAGCTTCATCAGGTCAGAAGGAACCCACTGCTCGTGCTGCTCTCAGCAGGGCCTTCGCACTTCGCAGGTAGAGGCTGTGGACGTGTGCCCTGCGCGGAGCTCACACGGAGCCTTCCTTTCCAAGGCTGCGGGGTGACTCTTGCTGGGGTTTGGGAAAATTGGGAGGCACTCTGCTGTCTTTCGGGACAGGCACACGAAATATAAGTTATACAGCAAAAATAAAAATCCCACTTGCAGGCAGATGGCTGCGCTGGGGTGATTGAAAATAGGGTGGGTGAGAAGGCGTCTTGTTTCAGGCGATGTGTATTTCAAGTTGAGCAAGTCTAGGCCCTTCAGCTTGTCTTAAAAGAAAGAACTTGGTCTCCATTTCTGGATGTTTCCCTAGTTCTCATGACCTGGTAGTTGTGAAGCAAGAAGGAAAAGCTGCTCAGAAAAAGCCCCCTTTTCACGCGGTGATCGGCCTCTCAGAGCTGCACGCGGAGCAGCCCCTGCGGTGCCCTCTAGGTCCCCAGCCCGGGTCCAGCGGACAGCCAGAGGGCTGGGCCTTAGCTGCTCACATGTCCCCTGCACACAAGACGTTCCAGGGCTTGAATGCGAACCTGGGCTGGTCTGTGGGAACTGTGGTTCTTAGTTGTCCACCAGAGGAGAGGGCTCGGCTCAAGGCCACCCTCATCTTACAGCACGCGAATAATCAAGATGTGCCAAATCAGGGTTCTTCTCCAGTGATACTTGGGGGCCACAGTGGAAAGAAGGATCTTGGGCAAATACTAATATGATGAGAGAGGTGAGAAATAGCACTAGTGGGTTGCTTTCTCCACCCTCATTCTGCAAAGCTCTCTTAAAACCCACACACGCACAAGAATGTACTATATACCAAGGGCAGGGATGCACCACTGGAGTGAATCAAGACCTTTTTACTCAGGACCCAAAACCCACTGACCATCAAGTGAAAGGAAGCAAAAGTAAGGTGCGAACACTGCAGAGCCACAGTGTGGACACCCTCGTCGCAGAGGCTGGTTTCTCTCATACATAAAGAACTTGTAAAAATCAAGAAAACCGTGAACAAACAGAAGAGTGGGTTAGTGTACGTCCCTCACAGAAAAACGCATGGCCCTTAATGAAGAGACATTCAGCCTCACTCATGAGCGAGGGCAGGTTGAAACTACCCTGAGGTGTCAGTTCGCCATACTAACATCATGACAGCACTGGATTTATTAGCAAAAACCCGTAGTCGCGGAGGCCTCCGGAGGAAAGCACGTACCTGCTTGTGGTGGTGAGTGCCAAGTGGTGCCACCCCTCGGAACCGTGGGCTGCGTTGAAGTTACACGTGCCCTTCCCTTGGACGCACCAGTCGCCGGTTTATGGAGCTTCTACTTCAGCTAGTCCTGCACACGCACAAATACAAGACGAGGTTCTTAGTAGGAGAAGCTGGACACAACACTGGGGCCCCCTGACGTGGTCCCAGGAGATTCACAGCAGAGTCCACAGAAGCCCCAAGAGTGACGGCCGCTTCCTGGCACAGCCGTGGGGAGGGGACCGATCGCTGCTCCAGGGGGGCATCCTTTGCCTCGGAGAGCACAAACACGTGAAGACGCGCCCAGGGGTCTGGAGACAGGGTGCAAGGAGGG